TGGCAAGCAGCCGCTGCTGCTGCAGTGTTGGCCTTGGGTCCGTCTGCAGGGGAGACAGACCAAGTGCCTGTGGGACTTGGCTCCGAAGCGTTACCCTGCCTCTAAGCCCTAGCCCCTCCGGTCCCCTCGCACGTGGTGTTTCAGTCCCCCAGTCTCTGGCCTGGAAGGCTGCACGTGGCCTCCCACATCACACTGTCTTTGTAACCCGGGATGCTTTGGGCCGGGTCGCCTGGCGGGCACAGAACCTGCAGAGTAACTCGCCTGCTGCTTGTGCCACGGCGGCACAGACCCGTGAGTCCAGGCGGGACGGCTTGGCAGCACCGACGCGGGGGGAGGAAGGGAGCAATTACCCTGGGGTCCAGTGATTCTAAAGGGCCCGGGGCTCCTGGCAGCAGTGGCGGCAGCTGGAGCCCAGGCCCCTTCGAGTTGCTCCCCAGAGCCATCCGCAGCGCGCTCTGGCTGGCTCTCTGGGCCAGCGGGGGGGCGGGCAGAGTGCCTGAGGCCCCACCCCATCTGGGAGCACAGAGCCGGACCCCCACCTTGGCCAGGGGCCCAGCGATCCTGTCAGCTCCCCTTGCTATGCTGCTGCAGTAGAATCAGAGAGCCCAGGGTCAGAAGGGACCAGCCCCTGTGTAGCACAGGCTGCCAGCCCCACCCACGCCCCCGGTCCACCCAAACACTGTACAGAACAGGCGGCTGCAGGAGGGGCTGCCTGGGGCCCCCCCCACAACCCTGTTCCCTTCTGCCTGGAGAGCCTGCACTACTCCCTGAGGCCTCCATGGTCAGATTCTGACAGTTGCCTGAGATAGCGAGGCCTGGACATGATGGTTCAGGGGGTCCCGCCTCCAGCCCTATGTTCCTAGGCGTCCCAGGGTGATGCCTGTAGCTGGGGATTGCAACCGTGCCCACAAAGCTGCCCCGGTTGTCAAGCGCCATACGCTCCTGGGCCCCTATGGGCCCCTGCGGGATGCCAGCTACTTCCCTTGCGTCTCTCTCTAGCTCTCACTTGCCCAGCCGTGCTCTCATTCTTTCAGGTCTCCTGGGCCCCACCATCCGAGCCGAAGTCTATGACACTGTGGTTGTCACCTTTAAGAATCTGGCTTCCCGCCCTTTCAGCCTCCATGCTGTGGGTGTGACCTACTGGAAAGCATCAGAGGGTAAGTCTGCCCCCTTCCCTCTGGCTCCTTGTCAGCTCACACAGTGCTTGTTCACAGAGGGCTAGCAGTGGGAGCAGGGAGCTGAGAATACCGGGCTGTGTTCAGAGCTAAATGAAAGAGCAACCTCTTTGCCAGCTTTTCCCATCGCAAACCTCATTCTCATGGCTGCTTTCAAACCAAAGAACCACTAACTCCCCCTAGAAACAAAAGACAGGACTATGTAGCACTTTAAAGACTAACAAGATGGTTTATTAGGTGATGAGCTTTCGTGGGCCAGACCCACTTCCTCAGATCAAATTGTGGAAGAAAATTGGCACAACCATATATACCAAAGTGATATAATAAAAAAAAGTGAACACATATGAAAAGGACAAATCAAATTTCAGAACAGAGGGGGGATGAGGGGGAGAGGTTAATTTCTGTGAGCTAATGATATTAGAGGTGATAATTGGGGAAGCTATCTTTGTAATGGGGAAGATAAATTTGACACTTTGCGACTGGGCCTTAACAAAGATGCTAATTATCTTACCCATTACAAAGATAACTTCCCCAATTATTACGTGGCTAGTGAGTGCTGATGCCCTGGTAGCACTAAAACTGCCCATCAGACAGCGGTCTCCTTGGTAGGCAGCTGCATCTGGAGAACGGCCCGGAGGAGAGATGAGCTGGGTCGGTGCTGCCCAGCCTGGTTTTAAGGAAGATGATAATGAAACCCAGGGCAGCTTTGTAGCAGTGATGAGCAGGCTGCTCTTTTGGCTTTAGGGGCAGGGTATCACGATGAGACCAGCCAGGCAGAGAAAGAAGATGACTCGGTGGATCCTGATAAGACCCACACGTATGTCTGGGAAATCCTACAGGACCAAGGACCAACAGAGTTTGACTCCTCATGTCTGACCTACTCCTACTTCTCTTACACTGACAGCGTGAAGGACATCAACTCTGGCTTGATTGGAGCCCTGCTTGTCTGCAGGCCAGGTGAGGGTACGGGGAATTGGAAGAGTGAGGGGGTGGGTTCCTCTAACCAACTGCTTATTATTGGATCTGACTGAAAAGACAATGAATCTTCCTTTCCCTGAGCAGGAATCAGCGGCAGGACCCGTGGGAGGAACCACCTCTCTTGGAGGGTGACACGTGTTCTGGGTGGCACGTTGTCCAGAGGGTGCCTCGCCCATTCCCAGGCCAGAAAGCGAACACCCTTTCGAGCTGGAAATAACTTGGCCGTGTCTTTCCCCCAACCAATTTCTAGTATTTCCCAGAGATTCCAAACCAGTTGCCGAGGCAACAGTGTCAGGGTGTGAGACCTTTCACCTGTGCCGTGATCAGTCTCAGTGCTTTTCCGCGGGTACATGGGCCTCGTAAGACGCAAAGCAGATGGGGCTGCGCCAGCTGGGGTTTACAAATCATGCATAGACAATGGAGGGTGTACAGTGCCGAGCCAAATGCAGGATACTCTTGCCTGTTCTAGGCACGGTCCTTTTGCCCGGATGGAGATGGGCTACAACTTGGCTCCCAGCAGTACCTGAAGCTCAAAGGAGCAAAAAGCGATGGCAGCAGAGCACAGATGTAGGGATGGGCCGTTTCAGGTGATTAAGTACAACCCTGCAGGGCACAAGGACACTTTGATCCATCCCATCAGTGCCTGCTCCAGAGAGCCTCTGAGGCAAAAAGATCTCTCAGAACTGGGTGCCGGACAACTAAGTGGCAAATGAAATGTGATGTGGACAAGCGCCAAGTGCTGCACATTGGAAAACACGACCCCAGCGAGACGTATCAAATGATGGGGGCTAAATCCTCACCACGCCAGGGAGCTCTGGGAGTCACTGTGGAGAGGTCTCTGAAACAGCCACTCCGTGTGCAGCGGCAGCCACAAACGCAAACCGAATGGGGGAATCTTTAAGAAAGGGAGCAATAAGATCTTCTCTGTCTCATTCTCCATGGGTACATCTACACTAGCCCCCTAGATCGATCTAGGGAGGTTAATGAAGGCGACCGGAATTACAAATGAAGCCCGGGATTTAAATATCCCGTGCTTGATTTGCATGTTCCCAGCTGGTCACCATTTTAGAAATTGACTAGCCCGAAGTAACTGCCCGTGTCTACACGCAGCAGTGACATGGGATTCCGAAATAAAGCCCTAACTCGAATTAGCTGGTATTCCTCCAGCGATGAGGTTTACCAGCTAATTCGACTTAGGGGCTTTAATTCGGAATCCCGTTTCACTGCCACATGTAGACACGGGCAGTTACTTCGGGCTAGTCAATTTCTAAAATGGTGACCAGCTGGGAACATGCAAATCAAGCACGGGATATTTAAATCCCGGGCTTCATTTGTAATTCCGGTCGCCTTCATTAACCTCCCTAGATCGATCTAGGGGGCTAGTGTAGATGTACCCATGGAGAATGAGACAGAGAAGATCTTATTGCTTCTGTGCAAATCCATGGGACGCCTGCATCTCGAACACGGCATGCAGACGTGGGCGCCTCATCTCAGAAAGACACCTGGACATTGGAAAAGGTTCAGAAAAGGGCAACAGAAATGATGGGGGTTTGGAACGGGTCCCATATGGGGAACTATGAATACAACTGGGACTGTTCAGTTTGGAAAAGAGACAACCAAGGAGGGATACGCTGGAGGTTTATATAATTGTGACTAATCTAGAGCAGCGGTTCCCAACCTTTTCGAGCATATGGACCCCTTTTCAATCTGTTAAAATGTTACCCCCCCCAGGGGAGCGGCAGGAAGCAGCAGCCAGCACATCCCTTGTCCCGTGTTGCTTCCTCAGCTCCTGCCCCCTCCGTCCCCTGTCAAGCCACAGAGGATACAGTGAAGGGGCTTTCATGGCCAAAGGCAGCTCCTGCCCCGGCACTCCGCCCTGGGCCAGGCACCGAGCCCTGAGGAAGGAAAAAAAAAGAAAAGGAAAAGAAAAGGAGGATCGGGCCCACTGCAGACCTGGGATGGGGGAGAGGGCTGGAGCATAAATGGCAGCACAGCTGGTGGTGGGAGGGATGTGCCTTTTGGGGTGTCAAGATCCCATCTCGAGGGCAGGAGGCAGCGTGCATGCAGCCGGTCATCAGTGGTGAGCTCCGGGCAAGACCCGTCTGATGGAAAGTCCCAGTCGCGCAGTGGGCCCAATCCTTCCTTTTCTTTTCCTTTCCCTTCCTAAACTTTCCGTGGACCCCCTGCAGAACCATCGTGGACCATCACAGATCCGTGGACCACAGTTTGGAACCACTGGTCTAGAGAAGTAATAAGGAAGTGCTATTTATTCCTTCTCTTAACATAAGAACTTGGAACCACCACATTAAATTAATAGGTAGCAAGTTAAAAACAAACAAAAGGAGGTATTTCTTCACACAACACACAATAAATCTGTGGAACTCCTTGCCAGAGGACGTTGTGAAGGACAAGAATATAGCAAGTTTAAAAAAAGAAGTAGATAAATTCATGGAGGTTAGGTACATCAAATAGGGTTGCCAGATGGTTTCAACAAAAATACCAGACACACTTGACATTACATCACAATCTACGTTACATCTTATTTAGAAAATACCGGACATTTCTATTTTCTCAATTTGTTTCCTGAACAGAAAGCTGAAATACCGGACTATCCGGTTCAAAACCGGACACCTGGCGACCCTACCATCAATGGCTAGTGGTCAAAATGGGTGGGGACGGTGTCCCTAACCTCTGTTTGTCAGAAGCTGGGAATGGGTGACAGAGGGCGGCTCACTTGACGGTTCCCTGTTCTTTTCATTCCCTCTGGGGGACCTGGACTGGCCACTGTCGGCAGACAGGACCCTGGGCTAGGTGGCCCTTTGGTTTGATCCAGTCTGGCCGTGCTTATGTTCTTATATACTTAACTGCTTCTTGAGATAAGGGGACTCCCTTGTCACTCCATGCATGGAAGAAAGACCGTGAGCAGTGGTGGCAGGCAAGAATCAGGCTTCCTCCTGGACACGCCCCTGGAGGTCAGCCCTGACAGCACAAACCCACACGGCCCTGCCGACAGCCTTGCTACCTCTGAAAGGCTGAACAAAAGATGAGACACAACTCCGCCCTTGCTGTTTCTTTACCAGAGGCATCCTCTCTCCCTCTCCCCTGTCGCTTGTAGGAGCCCTGGCCAAAGATGGAACCCGGGGCACATTGCAGGAGTTCGTGCTGCTCTTCTCAGTGTTTGATGAAGGTGAGTGCAGGGTATTGGGCAGCGGGGGCTGTCAGGTGCTGCTGGCTGGGAGGCTTGGTGCCACCTCTGGAATATTACAGACAAAGCCAGCATGGCTGGACGCGCCTCGGAGCCTCGAGTTTGTTTGCCTTTCGGGCTAGCCGAAGGGGCTGGGTGGACTGCCCTGGAGAACAGAGTCTCTTTTCCTGATCTCCAGGGGAGCCGAGCTAGTCTGTTACAGAAAAAAACAACCAGTGGCCCGGTAGCACTTTCTAGACTAACACAGCACGTAGCTGGGCTCATGAGCTTTCGTGGGCACCGTCCACTTCCTCAGATGACCTGACCTGAGGACAGATGACCTGACCTGAGGCAGTGGGCGGTGCCCACGAAAGCTCCCGAGCCCAGCTACGTGCTGTGTTAGTCTAGAAAGTGCTACCGGGCCACTGGTTGTTTTTTTCTGTAACAGACTAGCTCGGCTCCCCTGGAGATCAGGAAAAGAGACTCTGTTCTCCAGGGCAGTCCACCCAGCCCCTTCGGCTAGCCCGAAAGGCAAACATCGCATCCACTTGGGCAGGAAAATCGAGGCTCCGAGGC